GAGGCCGGGCTGGGCGCCGCCGGGGGGGACGCCGGCGGCGAGCAGGGCTGGCGCGGCGGCGGCTGGGGCTGCAGCGGCGGCGGCGGCGGCTGGGCCGCCCGCTCCCGCGACGAGGAGCGCCGCCGCGCCTCCATGGCCTCCAGGAAGCGCTCCTGCGCGCCGGGCAAGTCCTCGAAGCCGCCGTCGGAGCTCTCCGAGTCGGTGGCCTTGGCGTCGGGCCGCAGGAGCGCCGAGCGCCCCCTGGGCTCCTCGTCGTCGTCCTCGTCCTCCTCGTCGTCGTCCTCCTCGTCCTCCTCGTCGTCCTCGTCGGCTCCCAGGAGACGCTGCCCGCCCGCGTCGCCCGGCGCGCCGCTCTCCATGCGCTCCGTGTCGATGTTCTCGAGGTCGATCTCCTCGTCCTCGGCGTCGCGCTTGTCGCCCTCGCCGTCCTCCTCGTCGTGCTCGCTGCCGTAGGAGTTGCCCTCCTCGTCCGTGCGGCTCCGCGGCGCCCAGGTCATCTTGTTCTCCTTCTTGAGGCGCCGGCGCGCGTTGGCGAACCAGGTGGAGACCTGCGTGAGGGTCATCTTGGTGATGATGGCCAGCATGATCTTCTCGCCCTTGGTCGGGTACGGGTTCTTGCGGTGCTCGTTCAGCCAGGCCTTGAGGGTGCTGGTGCTCTCCCGCGTGGCGTTCTTGGGCCTCGACGGGTCGCCGAACTGGTACTGCCCATAGGGGTAGAAAGCCGGGTGCGGGTGAGGGAACGCCGCGTGCTGGACGCCGGGGCTGTCCTTCAGCTCATACTGGGCGCCCTGGTGGGAGCAAAGGCAGAGAGTCGGACGGGCTTCCCCGAGAAGCGAGCCTGCCCGGAAGGCAGCGAGCCCCCGCCCGCCCCCCGGCCCCGGCCCCGGCCCCGGCCCCGACCGGCAAGGGAGACGCAGCCGAGCGGACTCAGGGACCCTACCCCTCTGCGCCCTGACGAAGGCTGCAGTGGGGTCCGGAAATGGGCGCCTGCCCCATTGGACGACTGCCCCGCCGTTTGGAAAGAGGAGCAAGAGGAAAGTTACAGTTCAGCCTTCTGCGCTATCCCGGTGTTGGGGACGGCGACGGTAGCAGATTGGAGGGGGTGTTAGTGTGTGTGTGTTGGGGGGGGGGTGTTATTGCCTGTGATTTGCATCCTCCTTGCCATTTATCCATGGAGCAGAATTCTGAACCTTTCCTAGCCAAAGTGAATGCAGCCACTCCGTGTGCATGTGCGCATATATATATCACATAGAATTAAAGGGGGTTTCTTCCCTTCTGTTTGCAAACTCCTTCGGCCTTTAGTATTTGAGTGCCGCTTTCAAAACTGAGGAAACACCATCACAGAACAGCTCAGATTCGGGATGAACGGGTTCTTCTTTCATGGTAACAAAACAAGCATCTTGGGACGGAGCCGAAGTGGTCCTCCAGACCACTTGTCCTTTAGAACTAATAATGGGGATATGATGAAATGTTTACATCTCCGGCCTGCAACATCGCAGAAGTGAAAAGGAGCCTCTGCTCTGAAGTGAGCTAAATCCCTGGTTGGATTTCTGCGTCTCTTCGGCTCCCCACAGCCCCTCTCGCATAATGGAGGTGTTGCTGATAACGCCTTTTAAAATTGCCTCTCGTTCTGGGGGCAGGAATATAGGCATCTATACCTGCTTCCTGTGTATGTCCATAAAAGTGTTAGTCTGTTATGGAGGGGCTGTTAGATTGCCAAAAGAAAGAAAGAAAAGAAAAGAAAAGAAAAGAAAAGAAAAGAGAAAGAAAGGAAAGGGAAAAAAAACCTATCCCAAAGACAAACCAGACGGGCCTAAAATGGTTCTTGGTGACCATAATTAACCACTTGAATTAGCCACCTTAATTAATTAATTTAATTTCTATACCGTTCCTCAGCCGAAGCTCTTGAAACAACACGAAAACTTTGTACAACTCTATTAAAAACAGGTGTCCTTGTAGAAACAGTAAAAGAAACCTAGATCTCATACTTAGAGTATACGATTATATTCCTTGGATTCCCAAGCTGATATTTTCGTTCCAGGGGATGGTTGTTGTTGATGAAGATAACAACAATAATTTCAAAATATAATATCTTTCCTCTCCCTTCCTGGGCCTACTGACAGCATTCAAGGCGCAAAACGGGGTTATTCTTTAGCTAAGAAACAACGATCCGACCCAACAGCGGGGCAGTTTCTTTCCTGAGCAGCGCGTCTTCCCTCCAGCTCTCCCCGCACACCTTTGCTGCCCCCAGAAAGATTCCCACACCGCGCGGTTTGCGAGCTGCTTCGCGATCTGTGGGGCGCGCGGCTTCCGAAAAACCGGATTTATTTTTTTTTCCAAGGATCCGGGCGGCGTTTCAAGGAACGGCTAACCACCCACCCCGAACGCGCTCCGTGTGTCTCCGAGCCACCTCTGCGAGCGAAGCAGGGAGGGAGGGAGGGAGGGAGGGAAGGAAGGAAGGAAGGAAGGATCCAGGCACTTTCGCACGAACCGATCGCCTGCCTGAGCGCTTTCTCTCCAGGCAGACCGAGCGGGCGCGCGAAGGCGCCGAGCCACTTGCCCCGACCGCGGTTCCAGGCTCGCTGCTCGCCGCTGCGCCGCGCCGTTCCGCAGAGCGAAGCGAAAGCAGGAAAGGAAGGGGGCCCTTCCACCGAGGGGGAGCTCCGGAGCGGGGCCGGGGCCCGGGGGAGAGAAAGCACCCTGCGTTCTGCTTACCAGCTGCGGGAAGAGAGGCAACTCGGCGGCGTAGGGCAGGAAGGGCCCGTATCCCTGAGCAGCCGCGGCTGCCGCGTAAGGCGCTCCGTACATGGACAGCACGTTGGAAAGCGCTCCCGAAGGGCTCAGCTCTGCCCCGGCGCGGGAGTTGCCGTTCCCCTGGCGATCCGACGGGTAGATGGGCCGGATATACTGGCATCCCAGTTGGGAAAATGCCATGGCGGGGTGTGCGGAGGGGGGAGGGAAGGAGAGGAAGGTGGGGGAGAAGGAAGGAGGGGAGGGGAGAGAGGGAGGGGAGGAAGGGGAACGAGAGAGAAAGGCGAGCGAGGGGCGCAGGAGGGGAAAAACGCCGGATCGCTCGCCCTGCGCCTGCTGCACTTTTTAGAATATCTCAGAAACTCTGCCAGGCATTGGGGGCGCTGGGTGGGTTCGGGGGTGGGGTGGGGAGGGAGGAAGGTGGGGTGGAGACCAGGGGGGCTGCCGCGGCCGCCCCCGCCTCCGCCTTTCTTCTCCTTCGTCCTCTGGCCGCCGCTGCGTAACGATCCTTCGGCTCTTTCTCGCTTCACTTTTCCTATTGATCTGAGTGGACTGCGGGTCAGGTCCTAACAGATTGCTCGAGATTATTGGAACTCCCGCCTTTGATTGACAGCCGGAGCCTCTCTCTTAAGCCCCTCCTCCCTCCCTCTCTCGCTCTCGGTTTCTCACTTTAGCTCCCCCCTCCTTCCGCTCTCCGTTTACTGACGTCTTTTACTCGAGTGCTTTTCAAATCTGGCTGAAAATCGCCCATCAGTTCGGGCTTTTAGGTAGCTTTAACCCTGCCCCAGAATTGTTGCTGTAAAGAAATGATGGTTGGTGGTGGTGATTTCTCCGCTTTCACTGGAAATTGTAGCAGCTGCCTCTGCGGGTGGGGAGGAAGAGGGTGGAAAGAGTTAAGGCAGCGATTTGGGCAGAATTGGGATGTTATTGTTGTTTTCCTTTGAAAGGCACTTTCACCTCGTTTATTTATTGCGCGTTAATTTCTCCTTCTTTGCGGGGAGGATATTTCCCGCAGCCACCGACCCCATAGCTTCCACATCTGCCCCCCCTCGGGTTGGAGTTTCCTCAGCTAAATACGCATTTAGTGAGCCTCTCTCCTTTGCTCCTCTGCTCTTCCAACCCCAAGGTGTTAAGATCTCTTTGGCACAGAATTTTGGAGTAGTTTCTCTAAGCAGCAGGACAAGATACAGTCAGTAAGCTGGAAAAGCTGGGAAACTTGTGTGCAGAGATGATGGAGTGAATTTCCCCTCCAATAAGGAACTTCAAAAGACTTGCCGGACAGTTTGTTTTTTAAGCTCCAAGGTGGGAAAAATAAGGCGCATCAGGATTTTAACAAAGGAGACCCCGTGGGTCGATGGTAACTCAGTGGAGTGACCAAAACGGTGGCGCGCGCGCACGCACCATGGCAGGCTTTTCGGTGCAACTCATTAAGACCTTTTTGTCTTGGTGCGAAATCTCTAATTAGGATATTTATGATCGTTTGGCTCAGCCTCTGGCTTCCCCGGTGGAACCTCTCAGGAAAGGGAAGGGGTAGCGATACTTGATCTGGAGGAAAATGTAAATTCATAATATTCATAATAATGTGGGAGAGAAAATAAATATTTGGGGAGGTCCACAGTTGGTTTCCAGTGTTGCTGAACTCAGGTGGGCGCTGTCTTGAAAAAGACCCCTAAGAAATCAGCATTTTTCCCCTTCTTTAAAGCGTGGCATATATTCTACCCGCACAGTGCCTCAGACAGTTTTAGTCAGAAGTTAAGTGCCGGGATGCGCACGGGATAGCAATATTACCAGGAGAATTTATGCCATGTAGGGCAAAATTATTTGCGCAAATTATTTTGCAACATCCTTGCAGACGGTTGTGTTGTCTGTGGGGACGCACTAAAACCTGCCCTTTCTTTTTGCCATGCGCACGACCTGGAGCTTTCTATTGCGTGTACGATCGAACGTATAGAAGGGACGGCGCTGAGTTGGAGTGCTTCCGCTGTAAATCTGACTCGTGTGCCGTGTATAGATTTCGAAGCAACTTTGCAGGAAAGTAGATCCGACCGTTCCGTTCAGCAACACCCCCTCCCGACCCCGAATATTTCTCTGCACTTGGTGGATTTTCAGCTCTCTGTTCTTGCTCGATTCATTTCAAAGCCGGGGCGCCCCAGTTTCGCCTCCGCTTCCCTTAACCCGTTGGACTAATTACTTTTTTCAGCCACATGTCTTGAGCTCCTACCTATAATCACGGCCCCCCCCCCTGCTTCCACCGCTCTCTCTTCTTCCCCGAAACCCCCTCCTGGGTTTTATTTTATAACTCTCTTAGTTAAAAAATAAAATAAAATAAATGCATGTCAGATTAAACGGTTCGAGAAATCGACCTTGATCGCTTCCTCTCATAAACCTCTCTCATCTTGTAATAAGTACGGATTATATCAACTAGCAAGAGTCAGAATTAAAATTCTCTGAATCAATATAGAGAAATCTGGAAGAAACATATTTAATCGTATTACCCTGTCTTGATAGCTTTGCCTATCTGCTAATCTAAGGCAGTCCTTTCGCCCTCCTTCCCGCGCCCCCAATTCCCATTCTCAACTTTAGGGTTAGGAGAATTTATTCCAGCGCCCTCCCCTCCTTCAGCCCCTTTAGCTTTCCTCTTTCCAAAGGAGTTTTACAATATCGTGCAAAGGGGAACATACAGCTTAGCTCTGGGAATAAATCACAATAATATGAATGGTTAATAACAATAGAGAAAGACAGGAAAATCGAGACAACATCATATTATTTTTTTTCTCTCATATATACCTTAATTTCACTCATAGCCTAGCGGTGGAACGGGGAGATTGGGGGCAAAGTCTGACCCAGTTTACATAGATAGTAAGATATAAAATCTGCTACAGAAGTAAGGAAGCAGAAAGGGGGCAGGAATCAGGCCTATTTACTCGCGAGTAGTCCTGGCCTCCTGGGCTCTCCAGTTTTGGGAAGGACTGCGGAGAGTTCATTGCGCCTTGCCTTGTCCCCGAGTCAGTGCGTCACCGCTCAGCTAGGCACGCCTACTCAGGAGTAACTCCCATTGAAGTCGACGGCGCGCTCTCCCAGGGATCGCAGCCTGACTGCGGGATCCGGCGGGTGTCTGCTCGCGACGAAGCCCCCGCGGGCTCTGGGGCAGCGAGAATAGGACCGCGGCCAACCGCGCCTCCTGCGGGGTGCCCTGCGCAGCCCATCGAGTTCAATGGGACCCACCGGAAAGCGGTTCCTGCCCTGCTGCCAGCTTCCCTCGGGTGACTTTCCTGGGAGTAAACCCCAGTGAACGTGCTTCTTCTGAACAGACCTTCTGCGGACTGCGCGGACTTTTCGACGGTATCCACGGGGGTCAAGACCCTCGTTTTGCTGCACAAGAAACCTGGAAATTGCCACCTCCTCGCTAGTAAAACTTAAAGGTGCGTCCTGGGCAAATAGGGCATCCCGAGGGGTTGGGGGGCATGTGTCTGCTCCTGCTCACTCAAGCCCCCTTCCTGCCCCCCAGGACCTTGCCTGGCCAACATCACACCTGCCCCAAACCCTATAAGGAGAAGTCAGTTCCTAAGGAGACAATCCTATGTGTGGTTATACAGAAAAATTTCCTGCAACTTCTGGTCTCCCCCATCAGTATAGTGGCGGTTGTATTATTTTTGATAACAGCAATAATAATGCACAGCACTTTTATCCTGCTTTTTCCCCTCTTTTAGAAACCCAAAGCAGCTTGTATCACTCGGTTAGACAACCCTGAGAGGGAGCGACCTCCACGGCCAAGCTGGGATGAGAACCTGGATCCGCAAGACACCCAGACTGGCTCTGGGTGCCTTTTCTGTCTAAACATGCATTCCCTAAGGAAACTCACAGAAAGCCAGATGGCATTCCTACTACACGGAAGTCCTGTCGAATCCAGTGGCACTATTTCCAAGGACATGTGCTTAGGATTGCTCTGACAGGATTCTAAACAGGCACACCAGGGTGAAGGAAGAAGCCACTGCCCAGGCATTTCCTCACCTGGGAGCCCAGGTGGTGTTGCATCCCAGCTCCTATCATGCACAGCAATGGGAGAGATGAAGGCAGCTGTAGTCCACCAAGCTCTGTTGACCAAGCCTGGGAAAGGCTGCTGGGCCCGAAGTTGACTGACCCCAGGCTTCCGCTCAGAGACCATTCTCTTGGCCGTCCTCACAGGATTGTTGTGAAGGTAAGAACATCGGACGCTGGGAAAGTGCCATGGATTGAAGCTTGAGAGTTATGGGTAGAATGACAGGGTCACAATTGTTGCTTGTTAATGAGCAGGTGGGGGGAGGGGGGATTCTGGCCAGCACATGCAAAGTTGGAGGTGGCCTCTAGAAAGCAGTCAAGATCTCCCCCTATGGAATCGATCCTTTTTTAATGGAAAGTGGGCAGAGGAAGTGGGGGGGGGTGTGATTAGTGATTAATCCTTTAATTTCTGGCTGTTTCCCCTGCTTGGTATACCCCTTCTTAATTGTTTTTCTACCACTGGGAAATGTGTGTATATATGTGTGGATGACATGCATGTATATGTGTCTGTGTGTATGCATATTATCACGGGTAAGGTGCAGTTTATCGTATATAATCAGGGGTGATTTGGCAGAACACGTGAACCTATGCCTGTGCATTCACACATGATGACTTCATGCCAAGTCATTCCTACCTGCATTGTACTAACATGTGCATGTGCAGCCCGCACTAGAAGACAAAATCTCGCTGTTTCGAACAGGAGTACAATATTTAGTTTCTCCTGGGTTATCTTCAGACCAGCTAATTAGCAATCCAGCAGTTTTCTGAATTCAGAATCCCCACCTTGCTTGTTTCCTTAGTTGGATCATCCTCAAGATCTGAAGTTGTTGTTGTTGTTGTTGTTAAAATCACTATGGGCTGAACTCATAAAGGGGAAAAGAGAGTGTGTTCTTTGTGGGTCAAAACGATAATGGATTTTCTTCTCTTTTTTCCTCCATTTATGTTCCAGGTCCTAGAAGAAGATACTAGCTCATTTGGTCCCTCCAGGGCAACTTGCCCAAAGCCACGGTCAGGGCTAAACTCTTTTGAGCAAATATTCTGGACAAAGCCAAGTAAGAAGAGAAGAGAAAGCAGTAGCTGGGTTTCTGGAGGCTTCCGTTCCCTGACAGTCCAGCAGAAGGCAATGTTGGGCCCTCCATGTTTTG